TCCGCGTCCACCCTCATCTCCTTCTCTTCTCGGCTCTCGCCGAAGACAAGGTGCCGCTGCTTGATCCTTTCGTAAACGGCTTGGGGATTCTCAGTAACTTCCCCGGTCTTGGAGGCAGCCTTGTACACGTTAGTAAAGGTCTTAAGCCTCGAGCCGCGGCAGCGAGCACGAAGGGCGATGAGTTTCTCCCGGAAATTCATCCCCTTGCAGTTGTTGGCAAGGCCACAGACGTCCTCGAACTCTTCGTAGAACTGGACCACGTCCCGGATGTCGGAGCGATCGTCGGTGAGCGAGGGCCATTGGAGGTCCGTCTTCACGGTCGTGATCGACGTCTGACCTCCGCGAGACGCCAAGGCCTCCTTGAGCGCCTCGGTCTGGGCCGCCAAAGCTGCAGCGAGCTCTCCGGCTCCGCCGCTGGCGGAGTGAGGCTCGCCGGGCTTATCCTTCTTAAGCCCTTCGAGCTCTATCTCCAGAGCCGCAAGGCGGGACTTCAGGGGTGAGTCCCCCGGACCAGGTTGCGGATCCTCAGGGATCGCGAGCTGAAGGTCCACCGGGAGAGGCGCCGGTGCTCCGGACTTAGAGCCCGACTCCGCAACGGCGCCCGTCCGGGCCGCCAGGGCCGGGACAGAAGAAGGAGTGCTCCAAACCTTCTCGGGATCGCCGCTGCTCTTGCCTCCCAGGGCCAAGATCAGCTCGCCGAGGCACGAGATCTCCTTCTCGACCTCCTCTCGGTCTTCCGACCCAAGAGAAACCGCGGCAACGGTAAACCTGGTGCGCAGGGCCCGCACCATCCTGGCAGGGTGCCAGTCACCTCCCATTTTGCCGTATTCCTCGGCAAGGATGGTGGCCTTGGTAGTGATCTTCTCAAGATCCTCCACCGTGACCTCTGCCTGGTGCGCCTTCAAGGCCACAACCAGCCTTGAAACCCGCGTCAGGTAATCCGCGACCGGTTCCTGGTCGGGACGGTAGAGCTCCCGCAGGTCCGCCTGCAGGGTCTCCGCCGTGACGGGACCACCCGTCCCAGCAGACGAGGGAGGCCCGGAACGGGCCGGGCCGCCGGCCACCGGCGAGAGAGCAAGCGCACCAACACGGCGCGCCGTCTCGGCCACGTCCGCCGGCGCAGCGGCAGGACGCGGAGCCGGTACCCCGGCCTCCGGCAGAAGCTCTTCAGAGCTGGGGCCCGGATCGCCATCCTGAGCACCCGGGCCCGCTTCCGCAGCTGGAGCTTCCTCATCTTCCTCTTCATCTTCTTCCTCTTCCTCTTCGGCATCGAAGTTGTCGTAGAGGAATTCCATCGTCTCCTTCCACAGACGCTGTTCATCTGCTAGCGTCGTGGATCGTCCGTCCTTCTTCTTGGTGGGACGGGACCCCGTTTCCTTACGCCAACGGAGCCAGTACATAAAGGGCATCTTCTCCGGGTACTCCACTGACCCATCCTCGATGCACCTCAGCAACGTGGCTCCTTCCGGCTGACCTGCGACCTCAGCGCTCATGGTCGCCTAGCGAAGGAGAGAGCCCCGTGCCACACAGGACCACGGCCTCAAGGCGCACGACAAGCGCGCCTTCGAGGCCACGTTAAAAGATTGCGGCGCAGCAGCCGCCTGGGTGGCCGTTTCCCAGAACAGCCCCCAATTGTGGAGAACGGAAACCCAAAGGGGCAGCACGCACCCTCGTTTTCCGTCCAAGCAGAAAGTCCAACGACCGTGACAGGTCGAACGTCCGCCCAGGACGGGCTGCGCGCAATTGCGTCGCGGCAACGAGAAGCTACCAACGACACACTGCCGTGCTCACTTGAGCCAAAAATGTTATGAATACGAATTACAGAAGAGCATGCATAAAAGCATACAGCACAACAGCCAGCCCGCAGACTATGTACAGTTACATACTACTACTACTACTACTACTACTACTACTACTACTACTACTACTAGTACTACTACTACTACTACTACTACTACTACTACTACTCCTGCTGCTGCTGCTACTACTACTACTACTACTAATACGAGCTACAACTACGACTGCTACTGCTACGGCTACGACAACTCAAGACGGCAGCGACTCCATCCGGCATGCATCTCAAGCCCTGCTGCTGAGCTTCCAGGCCCATGAGATGCTCGGAACGAAGCGCCGGTAGTAGAACGTCAGCTGCTTCTTGGGGAACTGGGTTGCTGCCTGACTCTCTCCCTCTCCTCCCCGCCCTCTGAAGCCTAAAGCAACAGCGGGTCAAACTTTCAGGAAACGCATTGGTGGATGGCTGAGGGCTGCGCTTGCGTGAGGCCCTTCGTGATCGCTGGCGTCGGAACCGTCTGCGAGAATATAGCGTGCACAAGGACCAACGGGGTTTCAACGTGACTTTGACATACGCAGAAGGTGTGAAATTTGGCTAGCATTCTGGGTAGCGGACTTGTTCGCCAATTCGCACCGACAAGTGGGCTCACGTGACGCAAACCCTGAATCAAAACCCAAAGCCCAAACATTCCCCAACGTCTAAATGCTGTCCGGAGCCTCAGCCCCTGGTGGAGTTCACAACAAGGCCATCGGAGAATAGACTAGATATACTCTGTGTAAAATGATATATGTATATATAGTGGTATGTACATGTGTGTATATGCATATGAATGTATATGCATACAACAGGTACACATACATATATAAATATAAATATAAATAAATATATATATATATATATGGACCTCGAGGTCAAAGTTGGCCAAGTACCCCGTGGGAAGCCAGGCGCCATCCACCGGCGGCGATGTGCCTCTTGCCGCGAGCGGGCTTGGAGGAGGAGCAGCTACCTGCTTTTTGATGTCCAGTATCCTCAAACCCTGAACAACCCTAATATAGGAGCCTTAACCCATGGGGTTCCTTGTTTAAAGGTGGAAGGTTTGCGGGGTTTTCTACTTTAGTATGCGGCTGGGGAGTCTGGTCATATTGCTCGAGAGTTTTGGGGATTTAGAACTTGAAGGCTTGGGGTTTAGTACGCTAGGATTCAGGTTTCGATCTTGAAATTTTTGAGATTGAATAATACATAAATGAGATTAACTGAGCTGTTTCGCGGTATGTAAAACACAAAACTCCGAGAAAGTGAGCTTCGCAGGTTTGTCGGTTGGAATTAGGGCTTGAATAAGGCTTTGGAAGTCATGAACCGTGATGCCAGAAAGTGAGTAGTCTTCAGCTTAGGTGGCTGTGCTGGTTGCTTCGCTGCTGTGTCAGTGCAGTTTTGAGTATGTCGACGATGTATGGGCCGTGTTAAGGCAGTTCTCATGAATCAGGAAAGCCACTAGAACCCTTCAGCAGTGTAGTTGTTGAATCTTGCTGACATACCGCCAGCGGCCGACATGAACCTACCAAACCTAGCGTCTCTTCTGGGTACATTTGAAGCTTTTTCGGCTTGGGCTTGGTGTTCGACAGGAGCTAGAGCAATTCCAGCACGCAGGGCCAGCTGAATCACACACAGAGCTTTACGCCATCTGCAGTGCGGTCCAAAGGCCTGAAACCAAGAAGACCGACTTCACGACTACGAAGCGTTTAGCTATGCTGAACTCTTCCTAAAGTCTCCAGTGTAGTTCCTTTTTTTGGTTTAACTTATTTTTCTTAATGATCCCATAAGGTAACCCCAAAGAAGAACTACAATGGAGCGTATAGATTTGCTAGAACCCAGCTGTCATGCTTCGTAGCTGAGACCGCTGCACTGGAGCTCCGAATCCGAGAGGATCAAAGCCTTCCGCCACAGACAAACAAACTCTGGAGTCGTGTAGGGTTTAGGGTTTAGGGTTTAGGGGTTTGGGGTTTAGGGTTCAGGAGTGTAGGGTTTAGGGGTTTAGGGGTTTAGGAGTTTAGGGTTTAGGGTTAGGGCTACGGGTTGGGGCTGCATAGATTCTACCGCTTTCAGGGGGTTCAAAGAAAGCTCTCCCCGAGCAAGCAGCAAGCAGTGTCGAGAACTGTACTCTGGCTCATGTCTTCCATAGGAAGATGGGCTCCTAGCTGATTAATTCCGTTCACAAAAGCAGCAGCTGTATAATCATAATCGCTCCAAGAGGATCACTGCGAAGCTGTTTTAGATGTCCCCCTGAACTCCCGAAGCGAAGCCCTAAAGCCTCGGCCCCAAGCCCTAGCAAGAACACGGCACATCGACCCAAACCCCGACACGGCCCGACACCCTAACTGTCAAAAACTAATCCTCCACCCCCACAAAGCTTCAAACTGTCGGACCTGACTCCGGCGAGTTCCGAAGATGCAGCGGATGAACAGGTCCTCAGGATGCAGAGCTGTGCCGTTTTTCGTCACTACCGTCAATATTACTGTAACCCTAAACCGTAGGAATACTAAATATTACTACAATCTAGGATTTAGGGACTAGTAGGGCAAACACTTTTAATGTAGTGACACGAATCGCTGAACTACTCGATCATGGTCCTGCCCATGTGGGCGGAAATGCTGGCCATGGACTCGGACCATCGTCCCACCTGCACTCATTTGTCGGGTTAGTGGGGAATGGGGGAATGGGTCATGGAGTCTATTATTGGGGATGACATAGGGATCCATTCCCCCATTCCCTACTAAGGACCAGACAGTCATTGTGTTAAAAGTCAAGCTTGACCGGCAGCTGCACTACTGCGCTTGGAGTGCCAAGGACTGGCACAAGAGCTGCCAGCCAGAACCCTGATGATGACCAGAACCCTGATGATGACAATGGCAATGGCGACGACGAGGATGATGATGATGATGGTTGCAGTGGTGGTGACTGGTAGTGGTGATGACGGTAACGATGAACATGATACCGGCGAGCATGGTGGTGATGATAGTGATGTGATTCAAGATGACGATGACGATGAGGAGGAGGAGGAGGAGGAGGAGGAGGAGGAGGACGAGGAGCAGGAGGAGTGGTCGTGGTGGTGGTGGCTCTGATTATGGACCACGTCCTCACGAACGATTTATAGCGCTGCCCGAGCAGGGGTATGACTACACATCACGTGGTCGTACGGGTTTTGCGGCTTCTAATGTCCGAAGGCACGTCTAAAAGCATTGTCTCGGCCTTCAACGGGGCCCTCAATCGGATCCACTGTCAGCGGTTCTGGGTATGCGACCTGAGCAACAGACACAACAATGCACTGAACAGTAAATCATGAAAAACCTTTTGCAAAATGAGCATGCTGCACGCTGGACAAGGGCAGGTATGTAAAGTAGATTCGTGCCATAGAAGGCCATGCAGTGTAAATGGTAAGCATGCTTAACTCTCAACTTCCTTTCGTGAATGCCCCACTACAGCACCCGAAGCGGAAACTGGGGCAGGAACGAAATTCACGTACGCCGTGGAGGACCGTGCGGTGCCGACACCGTCGGTGGAAAGTCGAACCAGTACGCCTGCTGCCCGCTTGCTCATCATCATGTGAGCGATTTGGCTCGTACGCAGGTCTGTGCAGGCATCGTTTAAGCTTACCATCTGTTTCTGAGGAGACCTTCTGCAGAGCTTCCCGGTACAAAGCCTGACTCGAATTACACGACATCTAGACCCTAAACTTTAAGTGACTAGGCCCCGAACGCTCTGAGGCTGCACCATGTGGCCGGATCTCCCAATGCGGAGTCGTGCCTTGGCGCTGCCGGACCGATAATTTAACCCGATTGAGGTTTTGGTCTTTACGGGCTTAGCTCTAGATTCAGATGTTATATCTATACATATATATATATATAGATATGTATATCTATATATATATATATACCAACATGTATTCATATACATATACATATGTAACTGTAGAGTCGGGGTTCTGGGAATGCAGACCCCAAGGTGCTAGCGCATGAATTCAGAATGCCTGTCGGTAAGCGTTCAACCAAGGCCGCTGCAAACCACTTGCCGGTCGCTGGCGAGAACCGAAACTGGGACCTTCCGTCAAGACTGCTTCAAAGTAAAAGCCAGAAAGTTGGAATATGATTATCCTAAACCCTTTATGGTAAATTATAAGGTATCCTACCCTGAAACCATATTCCAACTTTCTGGAGTTCCCTTTATGCTCTTGGATATCCGCTACCTTCCTGGCTGGCTCATGGGTAGCTACAAGTACGACGGTTGATGGTATAAATCCTGCATTGCCCATAGCAAGGAATATACCATAATTCCCATAGTTTAGGCTCCTTAAGGTAATGCAGGATTTATATCATCAACCGGAGCACATTAACCGTCCTAACACCCCAACATGTCAAACACGAAGACAGGTGCACTACTGTACATCATCCTCTGAGCCTACAGTTCTTAAGCTTTCTAGAACGGAAGCTCTACACATCCTCGAGGCTGACCCACCGAAAGTCTGAATCCCCAATCGTTGAGCTCGAACAAATCGCAGGGGTGCCCTTTGGGGCGCTTCGACCTCGACTGCTCGCTCCCCTTCACCGAAGATGCAGTAGCGAGCATCCGCCGCCAGACTGGCCCCTGGCAAAAACTGTGTTGGAGCCTTTCGGGCGTTGGGTTTCCACATGTCGTCTGCGGGTTGTACGTAGTAGCCCAAGCAGGAATCAACTTCTAGCTGGCTTCAGACCTTGAAGTGCCGTACTTCTGACTGGTTCTGCAAGCTACCAATTGACCACACTGGTTAATACCGGACCGCAGGACAGTAGAAGTGTAGTTTCCCAGATGTGGCCTGTCACCGTCAACGGCAGGTTTCCCAACGCCGACACATTCTCCGGATCAACCTTGCGCAAAACTCGGACTGCCTTGTGTGCACTGCCTTGCAGCTCCATCACACTAGGCTCGCAGCTGTCACGACAGAGGTCGCCGTCACGAAGCGCACCAGGACCTCAGCTCTTCCCAAGGAGCTTCGGGCTGTGGCTAGATCTCCCTCCTTTCAACTGCTAAACCACGAAAGCCGCTCGAAGGTCCCGGCTGGGGGCACCCCTGGAGTGAAGTCCTGTCCGTTCATGGCAACCTGCAGGCACCACACCCAGCAGTTTCAGCAGACTTTGGGGCAAAGAAGGCTCCGAGGGCCGACGGGCCTCGACTTCGTATGTGGTTCCTGCTGGAGAAGAGGCCTCAGCTCTGCGCTGAAATCCCAAACCCCATCGTCTTTTGCGGTACAGTCTTCAGGGTTCTCCCGGCATGTATCTTTGCATATAAAGCTGTTGTTTGAAAGTCTGGCTTGCAGCCTTCAGATGTGTGGATCATGTGCGCTTGGGTGGCGCTCTGGCTCCCTAAACCATCGTAAACCCACCGCAGTCCCCTGAACTTTGAGTCTGAATAAGACTGATTCGACTATCAGGGTTTTATGGACTTAAGGGTTTAAGTCTAATGGACTTGGGGCATAGGGTTGAGAGGCGTGTCGCTTCCGAGTTTCCAGACCGATTGCTGACTCCCTTGAGGAAGTTCCAGATCAGGGATCCCGAAAACAACACCGAAACAGCACAACAGATCCCAAGTAAGTGTGACCTCTTGAGTGGATGCATGCAAGTTGTGGGCAGCTAAGACCATCGCCAGACTGAAGCCCGTCGAGGGCACTGCACACAAAAGGGTGAAGTTGTTCAGGATGACCTTGCGTAAAGTCGAAAGCCGCAACCATGAACTCATTCCCTCCAGCCCGTTGGCTTCAAATGGAGAAGCTCCGTAATCTTTACATCTGTGGAGCCCATGGCCACACAGTATTGTAGTTGCGTTCTGATCTTCGAAGCATTCTCCGCCAGGGCAGCACAGTCAGGAGCACGTAGGCTTTTTAACGCACAGGCTCATGAGCATGTCCCGATAAACTTAACAACAATTAAAATCCAAACGGCAGCCATCACGGTCATGGGATGCTAGTTAACTTATGGGCTGTTGCTTGCAGCGGGTCGGACGGGAATGGAATCCAGTGGCCAGGATTCTTCCATCAGAAGCACGCCAGTGCGGCGCAGTTTTAATCGACTTTTTTTGCTATATGATGCTATGTTGCTGTTCCCTTTGCAGTGGAATCACTCAGTGGCCTCTGCTGGCGCCAGGATACCCCCTTCACCACCCAGTCGGCACCTGGGCACAATCAGAGGTTACTGTGACATAGGAGTATGCCGTATTATATGATAAACTACTAAATGTGCTTTATTCCCACATATCTATGTATATATATATATATACACACACATTATGTTCATCATGTGGGTTCCTTCCACACCGTGACCCGAAATCGTGCCGCGGCACATTGCCGTCCGCGAGGGTCGGAAATTCTCACCCGAAACGAAGAGCTTGAAGCCTGTCCGTCAGACATGTGAAATCAACGGGCTGTGCCGGCCGTGCACAAGATGGGTCCGGTGATTGAGTCACCCCTCCTCTCTTCCTGCAACTGCTCTATGCTTTCAGAGAGACGCAACTTCCCACACCTCTGGATCGCCTTGGGAACTCTAACACAGTTCGGCACATGTGTGCAAGTAACCCTTGTTTCGCCTAGCTCGATGCCTCGCACTTTCCGTTTAATGACCCCAGTGAACGGCTAATGTGCTGCACAGATCGAAAGGGTCCGGAAGGCCATGTGTGCTGTTGCCATGTGTACAAAGTCACAACCTACTGTTCCTACAGCTCCCACGACTCCTACTCCTGTCCTACCCCTACTCCTACTCCTACTCCTACTCCTACTCCTACTCCTACTCCTACTCCTACTCCTACTACTACTACTACTACTACTACTACTCCTGCTGCTGCTGCTGCTACTACTACTACTACTACTACTACTACTACTACTACTACTACTACTACTACTACTACTACTACTACTACGTACTACTTCTACAAACTACTGCTGCTACTGGTGATAGTAATACTGCTGACAGGCTGACAGAACCAAGTAAACTGTCAGCCTCTTGGAACCTGGGACCTGCGCCCTCCTCGAAGCCAAAGGATGTGGCTTGCCACACCTGGCCTTCTGCCTGCTGCTTCTCGTCGAACTCCGATGGGTACACCCGGGTTATCTTCCATTGCCTGAGTCTGAGAGAGGGCGTCCATGTGGGCATCTAGCGATTGAGGGTGGGAGATGGGGTTTGAAGGGTTACAGCATGCACAGGCTTTAGGATGACGGCTTCAAGATCTCCGGGCGCACAATCATTGAGTGCTTCGAAGATTTCAGCCATGCATGTGTCTGCAGAGACGGCTACAGCGGGCTCTAGACACTGCGGGAGAAACTGAGGCGCCGGCTCGGAGTACTCGAAGCGCGCGTACGGAGGGCCCTGACAGCGGCCATCGGCCTGCTTTCGGGCCAAGGGCACCCATGCGACAAGTCCCAACGAACCTCCAAAAGACTACGGCGAACGAAGCTTCTTTTCAATGGTATGAAAGGTCTGTCGAATCCTGCAACATCGATGGGTGGAGCGGGTGAGAGCTGAAAATCGCCGGGGCGATGTAACGCCGGCAATAGTTGCGGCATATGCGTCGACTGCCGGCCATGTCCCTGCAAACACTACGTATGTTACACTTCAAGCTCAATCAAGAGCAAGAGTACGACATCATCACCAGCAGCAGAACCTTCAGCCTCTAAAGTTTGAACGAACCATCGAAAGACTTTGAGAACCGTCTGAAGTAGATACAAGCATATACCCGCCTTTGCACGGCACTCAGATTTAAATCTGATGACTATGGTCATCACGCTCGTGACTATCATCGCAAAAGCCGCACAAACAGGGCCGGCCTGAGCGATGCCCACATCGATGCTCACAGGGCTTTGCGGCCATGGAGGAGTCTTGCACTGATACAACCTGAGAGCTCGTACCGTGGTGTTCAGCGGGTTTGCGGGGTTCGGGCTGTGGTTTTCAAGCACAAACACCAAAACCTCAAGGAGGCTGGAAGCACTTCAGGGCAGATGTGCGGCAGAGTCATGCCAAGCTACGGTTCAGGAGCCCCCTCGTGTGAAGCATCTAGCTTCGCAAGTTTGGGTCCAAGCTAGAGCCAGGTGCACCAAACTTGACAGCAGTCTGTGCCTGAAGCCTGCGTAAGCCCATGGCATGTCCGTGACCTTCACTGCTGGCACAATCGTTGCCGGTGGAGAGCCGAAACAACAGCTCTTGACCTTGGAAGCTGAAAATGATGCCATTGACCCCTCAGCACTTCAATGCGTTCTGCTTGCTTGGGCTACGAGCCTGCGACATGTTCAGAAGCTCCATCTCCACCTCTCCATCGCCGCGAACGACATGCACCTTAGCGAACCGTGCTATTATGCAACAACATCCATTTGAGTTTTGGATGTTGGAGCTCAGACAATCGTCTAAGGATGATTGAAGCTCAAGAACGACTGAAGCCAACCACTTCATAAACTGCTCGGAGTTTTGCATCTAGGACTCTCTGAACATCAGACTACACTCGACATTACACTCCAAACCCTGTGTCATCAGAATTATAGACCAAACCGCACATCAGCATAGCAGAAGCTAGGCCCTTTGCATCCAGCATTGTGCCCCCACGCCGCGGCCCAAACTCTGGATAAATGGCACCTAGTTGCACAGCCAGGCGGCTTGACTAAGCTAAGTTGTACGGTTTAGGACGCAAAGCTTGGCTCCGTGTCCTCGGTGATCCAAACCGTAAGACTCGACTTGTCCTACTTGACGGCTTTCGAAAGTCGGATCCGCTTGCTTAAGCTCGGTTTCAATTTCTGAGAAGGGTACGACAGTATCGAAAAGGTTGATATCTCGGGGTGCCCTGTTTATCCCTGTTTCCTGAGTATCCCATTTACGTGTCAGAGTGGACATGATCAGCAGAGTCTAGGATACACCGTGTCATCTGACCAAATCTTAATCACCATTCTAGGCCCCAAAAAATCGAAGCACTAATTCAACGCTCAACCCTTGATCCTGAACTCCAGAAGCCTCAGCCCTAAACCCCAAACCAAACCTCCGACTTTGAACCCCTAAACCCTAAACCTTAAATCCTAAACCGTAAACCTCCGACTCTGCGCCAGTAAACTAAACCTCCGACTCCGACTCTGAACCCTTAAGCCCTACACCGCGGTGCGGCGCATCCCGCCTCGCAGCTCTCTCACAAAGCTGAAGTAGGCGGTGGTGGGCCTTGGTCTTACCGTCTCACTACAGAAACCCTTATAGATCCCTTACAGGAACCCTTAAAGGAACCCCGGGGATTCTTCCACACAGGAAAGCTTTGTAGTATAATATCGTACCATATCACATAGTACCATCCAATACAAGTATAAGTATAGGTATAGCTGTAATTAGTTTAGAGCCATGAATATAGTTCGAAGATGAAATAATGTAGTATAATGCAATATGACGTAACATAATGTAACACAAACTATATGCTGGAATAGAATATGACATGATCTAACACAAACAGATACTACAACTGAATAGAACAGAGTATACATAATATCAGAAACTGGCAACTGGACAATGAGTGCTGGAATTCCTTAAAGTTCGCTTTCAGGGCATGGGGCTCTGGCAAGCCAAGGTTCCAGCTGTACGGTGATGGCTTGACCTCTTTTGACTTTCTAGTGAGGTCCCGGCGTCCAGTCTGCACCACCATTGATGGAAATCGTAACTGGGACTGTCCTTCAATTCAGGAAAGCTGTCATCCACATTGGCCCAATACAAGTAGCAACGCCAGAGCATCGGCCTCAAACCGTGGTCTTTCCCCAGGGATTGCGGCGTCACCTTGCAGCTGAGGCTTCAAACTAGCACAGCGGTCCAGAATTCCTGGTCTAGATGCATTCCGAGAAGTGGCCATGAGGATAGCATGTTATTTAGAAATTGACTGAAAGAGTCGTCCAGGAATCTGAAGCGCAGTGAAGTGAAGGTTACTTGGGCCCTCCACGACGGGCTGCCAGTGTATTCGCAATGCTCGCAGGAACAGAAATCTTTCTCACTACTGTACTTATCATAGTTGTGATTGCTGCTTCTACGACTACTACTAGTACTACTACTACTACTACTACTACTACTACTACTACTACTACTACTACTACTACTACTACTACTACTACTACGACTACGCCTACGCCTACGACTACGACTACGACTACGACTACGACTACGACGACGACGACTACTACTACTACTACTACTACTACTACTACTACTACTACTACTACTACTACTACTACTACTACTACTACTACTACTACTACTACTACTACTGCTCTACTACTACTACTACTACTACTACTACTACTACTACTACTACTACTACTACTACTACTACTACTACTACTACTACTACTACTACTACTACTACTACTACTACTACTACTCTTAGTCTTGCTCTTCTTCTTCTTATACTCTTCGGTAAGGCGCCGGCACATGTAATTTCCCGGCTGCTCAGCCATCGCCCCGGAGCTATGGCTCCTGCTTCTTGACTTCCTCAGCGCCAGGATGTCACGGAGAGAAGTGAAAGTATGTGTGTATGTACATATATAAGAGTATGTGTATATACACATACACCCAAATGTATGTAATGCATACAATACAACACAATATAACATCGTACAGTTGATATAGTGTTGCATGAGACAACGAAATACAATACATGCACAGCACGATAAACAGAGAATAATATAGTAACACATGAAATTAACATAATATGAAAGAATGAAACATAAAACCATAAAACCATGTAACGGAATGTCATGAAACATATTGTGCTGAAAAGCAAAGCTCCTGTACTATATTTTGTCATAGTCTGGTATATTATACGGTATTTTACTGTACTGTATGACACCATTTCATACTATACTATAGGGTACTAAAGTGAGTTGTACTATGCATGTTATACTGTATCCTTACATTGCATTGCGTTATGTGGTGCTGCTTTGTGCTATACAACATAGATATATAATATACATGGTTATACATGTATATGTACATACATACATATACATATATGTATATGTGTATATATATATACACACACATAAGTTCGTATATATGTACATGCATGTATGCATGTACGTATGTTTGTATGTATATATGTGTACTCATGTATGTCTGCATGTCTGTATAAAGATTTGTTGAAGGTGAGCGCGGAGATCCGGCTCGCACAAATGTTTGACACGATAAGCAACACCTCTGCTTGGGCGGCTATACCCTAGAATGTACAAGATGCGACAGTTGGTCAGGCACTCTCCCAAGCTTGACTTTCACGTCAACCCTCCACCTGATTAGTTGTTCCCGCCAGGTATGTTAATCCCCATTGTGACATAGTCACGCAATTGCCGGGCTATGATCACTGTAGCACAGACTACGCAAAGCGTCAACGTCAAAGATGTCTGTATGTCTGTATGCCTGCATGCATTGTATGTATCTATGTACAAAGTTGTGTATGTATGCGCATGTGCTTGTGCGTGTCGATGTGTATGTATACTTATATGTATATGTATGTGTGTATATGTGTATGTGTCTGTGAATGTATATGTGTGTATGTGTATGTGATGTAGATGTGTATACATATATATATATATACACACACATACACATGCACACATATACATATATATATATATATTTATGTATGTATGTATGCATACATATATATATATAAGCAGTTACCCTGAGCGCCCTTCAACATGTATGCAAAGGCGAGTAGATGCCGGCAGACAACTTCAACTCTGGTAGCCTGAGGGACCGCACCGAAACGGCACAAGAGTCCACCCAGTCGTTCTTCAGGGAAGTACCGCCCGTGCACGGAAACCTCACAACGAATGTGCAATCAGTTGATCTCACAGACTGACGCACGATTGCAAATAAACACCTACGCACATGACGCAGAAGCAGCGGGTGAGATCTGTCCACGCTGAAGATCGTGTCTTCTGCCGGCTGCTTCGTGTGGTCATCGTTCACACAGAGCCACCGGGAATCCCACGTTTGTGCCACCTGTGTTTGGCCCAGAACGTGGCGTCACGCTGTCAACATGGGGCTGCCTCCGGGAGTGAACGGGACAGGCATGCCAAAGAAGAGCCAGCCGCCCCATTCACGCAGAAAGGAAGCTGGGCCAGCCTGATGTAGGTGAACCGATGCTGGCCTTTGTCAGAAAGCATTGACACCTACATTCAAGCAATTCTCGCTGCCTGCTGTTTCTTGGCCCACCACAGGGCTCGTACTCGAAGACATTCTCTGCAGAGGATGGAACGACACGCACACCTTGCGCAAGGTAGCTATCACTTGTTGCAACCCCACGGGAAGCTCGCTAAAAGAAACGTTTCTTGCTTTCTTCACAGGACCGGCTGCCAAACCCAAAATACATCATTGCATGTTTACGAAGTGCGTAGTGCTCATGCATCGTTCCTGCAAACACGCCGAAGGTTACGGATCCAGACTCTGAACGAGAGGTGCTAGTAGGCACAAAGGCCGCTGCTACGGCAGCAGTCAAATTGCAGCGGTCCGAAGTGGTGCATGAGGAACCGGCTGTTTCATGTTTATGTGTTCTTCTCCTACTCTTCTGGTTGCTGCTGACATATGGACAGCTTCTACAAGCAGAAACGAGCTTTTGGAAAGCCATGCGACCATGTCAGCATGGACATGTCCAAGTCCTATACTGCTCCAGATCCTGCTCTACATTGGCATTCGGCTCATTGATTGCCGTTCAAAGCTTGCTCTCTTACGGCTTAACTCCAAGCATATGTGTCTGGGGCGGCGCACACACTGGGTAGCTGCCGGCCAACATGGGATCCTCTTCGCTGTCACACACGCCCCAGTCGGCACCCTGACCTCAACACGGTGCGACAGCGAGAAGAGGCGTCTGTGCAACATTGTGCAACTTTCATCGTGAATTTGCGAAGTTGCTCATGGCACAACAGTGCAGATGCCAAAGGTCCAAACACAAAGGCTGTTCGACTGCGCACCAGGACCTGGCAGAGTACGAGCCACGGCTAAGCTTGCCAGAGCTGTCTGTGAGGTCGACGATTGGTCTGAAAGTCTTAGAAGGGATCGCATGGCACCGAGTCAGCAGGTTGTTGCTTCACACTGACTGCTGCAAATGCTGGCTTTTTCTGCCGTTCACTGAAGACGCGAGTCGGCAAAAGATGGCAGTCGTTAAAGCGAGGCTGCGGGGGCTTGTGCTCCGTGCACACGAGGAAGAGTTGCGCCGCTGCAACCGCTCGACACTTCAGACCATGACGGTGGACATTGAGGGTGCTGGCATGGCTGCAAAGCTGATCCAGCTGAAGTTGAACACTTCCGGCTGCCCAACGTGAGGCGAAGTTCTCCATCTGCCGGTCCAAGAGAAGGGCGGCTGCTGGTCTGCCGTCGGCCCACTAATTGCGCTGAAGCGCAAAGCCTGGCAATCTGATGCGGTACAGATCTTGCCGTCCGTGTTTCCGAAAGCCTCCGTGGTATTCTCCCAGGGATGCAAGTCATATCTAGCTGCAATGGCATTTTCAGGTGCGCGAGGCTCCCAGGGACCTTCATATCCATGGGCAGACAGGGGATCTTCTCGCCAGTTGTTGTAGCGGAGAAGCTTCTGAACTTTCTGAAGGTCTGTCGCCTTGAGGATGTCGCGAGCAAAGATTTTTGCCCTTGGATTCTTCGTGTAGGAGTAGGCGTCGCCGTAGCGGCGCTCCATGAAGTCTGCACCAGACGCTTCCCGAATTGTAGGGAAGTACGGGGAGTTGTAGGAGACCCAAAAGCCCTGACTTCGCCTGAGCTCGCTGGAAATGGCAGTGGGGAACTTTAACTTAAGCGGGTTACACGGTTTTCGGCTTGCAGATGAGTGGCAGCACCTCACTTACATCTTCCCAAACGATGATACCTGGCATCTGCTCCAGAACAGTGAGCATGCCATCTGGCACCTCCTCACCAGGTCGGAACTTGCTGGTCGCAACAACCTGCCTTGGACTGAGTGGGACACTCTACAGCATAAGCTTTAATCCCTGAATTCATCCTGAACAAAAGCCCTTTAAAAGTCCCTATACTTCATCTTAAAGAACCCCATGCCTAAACCGGCGAAGTTGCGGGCTTGCCCTATTCGATGTGACTCTTGCAGCCGCCAAAGCAAAACGGAAGTCCCCCCATACCCAGCCCAAGATCTCTCACGCAATGGACTCGGGACACCCTTTCCGAGAACGCAATCCACAAATCCCTTGTCCCGCACCCTCCCCTAAACCCTAAACCCAAGCTAAACCCAAAAAAACCAGCTGCAGGGACAAGCTGCCACTGATTGTTGATCGTTCCGGAGTTGAAGGGCGAGAACCATCGAGCCCAAGAGGAACCGTCCTCGGCGCAGGGGCCTTTAACAGTAAGTATTTGATAATGAAAACGGGGAGTACATACTATGAATACTAAAGTATAGTTCCTAAGGAAAGCCGTACACATTGATCAGGGTTTCAGGGTATACCAAACTTGTATTTGAATGATATACGACATATATTTTAGTGACTAAATACTGGCATTACTAAATCCACAGGCTGCCTCAAGCTAACATGCACACATGAAATGAGCATGGACTCTTGAGCTTGTTTGTCGAACTCGTGCGGCTCGAAGGATTTAGGATACACGGTGTCGCCAGCATGATGACAAGTGAAAGGACATTTGAATTGCTTATTTGGCATCTGAGCGTCTGTAGCGCGGCGATTTGCTACCAGAGTTCGCGCCCACGTCAAGACACTCTCGGGTTTGATCAGGGCGGCAGTGCTCTTGTTGTACAGCCTGAGACCGCTCATGGTTAAAATTTGGGATGCTGCCTGCGACACAGCCGTAGCAACGTTAGGATCCTCTTCCTGTAAATTCAGCAGAAGGTGCGAGGAACTCTAACTCTGAGGACACGATGCTGTTGCCTGATAGATGATCCTCCTACTGAGCGTTATACTATGTTACATAAATGCTACTATGATGGACATCAGCCTTGCTCCCGACCCCTCCCGACTATGTGAGCTACCGCTACCGTATCTCCACTTTCTTGTCTGCGCTAATGCCGCTGTCAGTGTGGAGAGTGCCCCCGGCCCTAGCTACGCGGGCGCCGCAAGAAGTTAATCTCCTGCCCTGGCCGTTATACATGGATACACCACCTGAAACCTTCTCATGTGGCCCAGAACGTCTCAGCTTAGAAGCGAGTTCGTTGTCTCCTGCACCGTAAGGCCAGAGCTTAAGGTGTAGAAGTCGTCTCCACTGTAGAGTTGGCCAAAGTAGCCTGAGAACACCACCTTGTCTGCAGCTCCGCCCAGGGGCATGTCATACTCCTGCGGGCTTGAGGAGCTCCGCACAAGTGACTCAGGCTGTCACGTAATATAGGGGCCTCAATACGTAGCATAGGGCTGAGGGGCACATTCTACTTTCAGCAATATAATGAGGAACCCTTTAGTAACAGAACGAAGTGTGCCATGGCCCTCTGATTGAGTCCTTGAGGAGCCGCAGCATCGAATAGTAGCCGGTCCAGGTGTTGTGCCCCACAAAGAGGTCGCTGTTGTTGGGTGCTAACCTGAGGTTAGAGGGATGCTATTCCGGTAACAGCACCATATTCCATGAGGTACTTTTGACGGAATCCGAAGTGCACCTGATGATGGAAGAGCAATGGGAGGTCTCGCGGGTGAACTCGGCGGCGCGCTTCAGAGTCCACTCGTCCTCGGCAAAGGGAACTTTCACGATGTTGTAGATGTCTTGCTCGGCCTGAAAGAACAGGAAATCGAGCAGGGAAAGGCAATTCTGGCCGCAAGCAGCAGCGTTGCCAGCCACCAACCCGTCGAGCTGCGCCCAGACGATGGCAATCTCTGCCCACCAGTCGTCCTCCGCGCTTTTGATTTTCTCCCGCACAAACCGATCATTCTGCATCAAGAAGGATTCTGCTTCAGCGTAGCTCGTGTAATTCCCTTTGAAGTAGGCCTGCCGGTACGAGAGCTTGTGCTCATAGGATCGCTTTGTCGTCATGGCCCCTTCAGCAAAACCGGCAGCAAAGGCCAACCTGAGCCGATCCTTCTGGGAAATCTGGGAACCGGGGCTACGCGGCCGACCATGGATGTGAAGCTTCGCCCAGCCCACTTGCTCCACTGTGTCTTGATACTGTGCAACGACATCGGCGTTCGGCAGGACCCCGTGGGCCAAGGTGCAGGCGAAGACAGGCGAGGCACCAGAACTCTCGCTGGGATCCTGATGGGTAAAAGGCTCTATTGCGAGGGCCGCTAAATTTGCACTGCTCTGCGAGGGTCACAGTGATATCCGGACGACCCCGAACACCCCTGTGCCAAGCAATACCTAACAACAGAACCATGGTCACGACTCTTCGGCATCCTATGGCCGATCAGTCGGGCCTCGCAGGAGACACTGGAAACTTCCCAACTGTCAGCCCAAACTCCCGTGCAGGAGAGCAGAAGCGCCAACAAAGCAGGAGTTGCCATGCTACAGATGTACTTCATGATTGGCCCATCTACGAATCTACGACCTTGAGCCCAATAAGTCTTCCTTCGGCAAGCGACTGCATCGCGACCAGCCCTCTTCATGCTTGATTCTCGATCACGAAGCTCTGCTTGGGAAGCTCGACTTGGATGAAACCCCCTTATGTAGGGGCCTTAATAATTAGAATAGGGTTTCCGGGCGCATTATACCATAATTATAATAAGGAACCCCCCCCCAAAAATAGTATTGGTAATTGTTAAGGCCCCTGTACGATGCGACAAAGACAGAATTCACAACCCCAACCACCCCACAAAGATGAAGGCCTCGGTGCAGCGCCATCAGGGTTGCAGCCTCGAGCCAAGTACGATCAGACTCTCAAGGCAGACCTTAACCCTGAAGAACCTACCTTTTTGGGGACTTATATGAGGATGAAATCATAATAAGGAACCCGAAAATGGTAGGTTCTTTAGGGTCCAGGGAGTGTCCAAAGATTTCCCATGATGTGGGGGATACTTCCCCCAATCAGAAAAGCAATTCCTAATCGAGAAACCCTACAGACTACTTTATACCCAGAGAGCCCAATACCGCTTCATTAAGGAATATAGCTTCAATCATAATATGAAGCCCCTAATGATTTAAAGTATATTCCTCAATTAATTAGGGGGTCTTGGGCTCTCCGGGTAGCTACTTCAATGACCCCCCCGACCGGACTCGGGCCATCACAGGAGCTGTCGCACATCTGCCCCGAAGGTGTGAACCAGACTTTTTTGCAGGTGCAGCCAGCCGCAGTCAGCCTGAGGGTCATACTAAAGGAGCCTTAATGATTAGAATAGGGCTTTGGGGCTTGGGGCCCACTATAGCCATTGTACTTATAGCAGGCTTTGCTTCAAACACAACGTACTTCACTACAGTACTTCACTTCACTGCGGTGCCTTGGGATGTTCATAGCAATGGGCACCGTGCATCCCAGTGTGTAGCTGCGGAAATCGGGAGACGATTGGATTTGCAATAAGGTGGCAGGGACCCGCTGCAAGCCGATGACGCAGTCGAAGTGGAAGTCTGGAAGAAGCCGTGGCCAGGTCGTGATGGTAAGGGTCAAGTCGGTACCCCCAGAGGAAGGGCCCACAACAGGTGTCACTTGAGCCAGCCTGAATCGTAACTCAGGGTCGTGCGAAAGGTTTCCCTGCACCTCCAACCGTGGGATATCCGGCAGAAGGACGAGGTCCTCACCCATTTCCGGCTCGACGTCTCTGTGCAAAACCGTCAAACCCAAAGAGGAATCTGACCACTCCTGACCATTCAATGTCACGCGCAGCTTGACCTTGTCTTCCCCTTTACGCAGCCAGGAGAGCCCGTCGGGAGTCGGGCACAGTATCAGATGACGGGAGAGGTATTCGGGCTCTGTGGTCACGAAATTCGTCTCCCAACCAACTTCCCTGTTCACGAAGAAATCACCGCCGGACACCCACACATTGATGATGTCTGGAATTATCTCCTCCAGCGTCTCATTGTCATCTGTGTAGTTGGACCAGGTGGCATTTTCATCGGTCGTTGTAACAGTGGATGTGGTAGACGAAGTGGTTGTGGTGCTGGTAATGGTGGTGCTGCTCGTGGAAGAGGTTGTGGAACTAGTGGATGAAGTAGTGGAGGTGGACGATGTAGAGGTCGTAGTGGAAGTGGAGCTGGAGGTGGTTGAAGAAGATGAAGTGGTTGTGGAGGTGGAGCTGGTGCTGGAGCTTGTGCTCGTGCTGCTTGTTGTCGTGCTGGACGTTGTCGTGCTTGTGGTGCTGCTTGTGGTCGTGGTCTGGGTCGTTGTTGAAGCGTTGTCCGACTGATTCACGTCTTCGCTGTCGTCGGAAACATTCTCGTCGGCACCATCGGAGTTATCCGGACCGGCAGTTGTGGTTGGTGCCAGGAAGCTGGTTGTGCTGGATCGCACAGTGGTGGTCCTGCCGAGCACTAAGAGCAGCCACGACACGATCCACTCCACAGCCCAGGACGGGAACCAGTACTAAACCCTGTCAAGATCCCAAAAACCAGAACCCTCAAGCTGCATCCTCTTCGTCACTGTGACGTTTAAGCTGATGTTTTGAGCGGTCTCGTTGGTGTCGTTTTCCACCTCATCTTCTTCTTGCAGTTCTGGCTGCAGCCCACCTGGGCATGCATGCAGGCACAACAAACAAAGTCACAAAGCTCGCGCGAAGACAAACAGACAGACAGACAGCCGACAGACTGACCGACAGACAGACAGAGGTGTACACACGCAGACATCGATGTGCACATCGGCAAAGGCCCCACTGATGAGAAGACAACTAGTGCCAGACCTTGCGCGACCGACCTCCACAAGCAAGCTTGAGAGTGCCATCTCCCTTTGACCTTGTCTCTTCTCTTCTACTAGACCTACAGGGTGTTTGTGGTTTCAAGAACCCTGTAAACGCATTTCAAGTGGAGCTACTCTCGTCTCTCCGCAGATTTCTCCAAGCGATCCTGTTTCCTGCGTCTACAGAAGGCCTTTCCCTTGAAGTGTGGAGCGCCTTCCTGTGGCAGCCTGCATGATGTATACGTTTGTGTACACATATGTATATGCATCTCTATATATATATATATACTTACATATACATATATATATATATATATGTGTATATACGAAGACATAAGATCGTGTTGAGGATAAGAAATATTGACGCAGCTCTGTGAAGGAAACTGAACAGCAAGTCTCCCGCTTGGAGATCAACACCGCCCCGAACTGACGATCATAACCTAGACGTGGGCGAAGCCGCTGGTTGTGCTCGCGTTGCTCTCGTTGTCACTGGCAGGCTCCGTTGAAGTCGTAGCCGTGGTTGGTGCAGATGTGGTTCTCCGTGGGATAACCTGGCGACACCACGGCATGTGAAAGGCCTTGACAACTCTGCGACCTCTGGCTGAGGGCTTGTCGTGTTAAGGATGCAAGGATATCTCGTTTTGGGGGTGGCTTGTCGCAAGGCCTTGGGCAGCTCAATGTCGCGATCCAGCATCCACTGGGTCAGATTATCGATGTCTGGCTGGAACTCCAGATCTCCCCTGGAATCAGACTGGGCTTGAGATTGGCTTTTCGTGCTCGGGGGGATGTCGATCGAGTGGTATCAGGCAACGTGCGTGGTTGCTAGAATCGTTATATATATATATATATATATTCTGTTTAAGCCCCCGGCCTGTCGTATCCGATGTGCACTCCGGCAAAAGTCCCGGTGTAGCTTTCCAAAGAGATGATGTCTTTGCCCCGAATCTCGGCCACCAAAGTATCATCCAGGCGTGGCAGAAGTGGTTCAGCCAGCACACCGTTCTCGTCAAAGAGATGATACACCTTCAGTGGTCGAGTGAGTGCTAGGGCTGCCAGTGAGCATGCTAATGCCCCTACCGACCCCAGATGGGACCGTCACTAGTTGACACCAACATCATGAGGTATCATGCAGCCAGTACATGGCATGGCGAGTCACCCAGGTGCCATCTTTCTGGTACGAGACGCACATGAACGGATCGACGCGATCCAAGGGCTCGAGAGCCTCCGCCGAGAACCTTGCTTGACTGCACAGTCTGAGACTCACGAAGTCAGTCACCCCCACCTTCTGCCACTGACAGTAGCGATGTTTCCAAAAACAGATGCAAACAAGAGACATGACGAAGGTGCGAATGGCATCCGCTGCGATGCGGGAGCTGCATTGCACATGCCCAAGCCACGTCCAAACAGGAATCCGGTGGGTCAGAAGGCTGCGGCGTTGCACCCGGCTTTCGAAGCCGCATCGAAGGGCGGAGACAGGTCGGAAGTTAGAACCGTGGACCTTGAGATGGGTGCTCTTTCCATCGATCACCTGCTTGGGCTCAACATCGAAGAGGTGAACTGGCTCGACGTACTCCAGCTGCATCATTCCGACGTTGGCGGACATCACGCTCGGCAGACCACGTGCATCACGGGCTGTCAGATACACACGACTGATGCCCACGGTACGAGGAGGGACTTGACAGCGAATCTCCAGGTTCGAGATGCGGACCGCCCGCGACCGCTGCCTGACACCTTCGAAGCCACACCTGACATGCAAGAACTCAAGACTGATCAACTCACATTGACAGGTCTACACAACCTTTGGCAAAAGACGATGGTTTAAACTGAACTTTCCAGCAAGCAGCCACATGTCTTCCTGCCCATAGAAGTTGCCATAAATGGCGAGCTCGGCACCACCGGCGACATGGACGAGGTTTGGATTCAAGCTCGCCGGTATGCTGGCCTCTTCATGTGCAACTGGCAAGATCGCAAGGAAGCTGCTACTGTAGTAAGCTTTTTTCCCGACGAGAGCCGCACAGACTATTAGTCTTCTACGGCGACAGCCTGAGACAGCCACAGTCAACTTGGCAACTCTGAAGCGTAAACTCTGAAACCTATATCTCGAACATGCCTTGATTGTAAGTCTCAAAACTTGACCCGCCCCGAGACCTAAAACCCTGGATCCTAGATCCTAAGACTGACTTGAGGCCCCCTCTGCCTCGGTGTTGTACCCGACCCCAAGTGGAGCCACCATCTGCTCCGAGACGTGGGTCTCTGGCACCGGGTCCACCTCACAGGGCTCGGGCACAAGATCACTTGAAAGAGTGCGAAAGATTCTGGGAGTAGGGTACGGTTTAGGGTAGTTCAGGGTTTAGGGTCGAGCTTGGAGATGTTTGGAGTGTGGAGTTTCGGCCATCTGGTCGGGTTTGGCGTTTCGGGCTGGGGCTTGGCGGCTTGGATGCGTCTTCCCTGTCGCCTCGAAGGAGCAGTTGGTATACTCGAAGTACCTTGGCCGCATGGCCCGCGCCTCTGTCACATTGCCACGTCCTTAGGATGTTGCGCGACTCCCACTTTGAAGCCCTCCCGTGGAGTCTTATAGTGAGTCCCAGACTTCTCATGGCAGAGGTATTGCCGGACATGATGGACATATTGCTGTCATTGCCCATTTCCATCATGTCATCGTCATCGTACTCCTCGACCCATGTCAGTGCACTGCTGCACAGATGCCGGAATGGTTAAGCATGGATTCTGCCACCATGCAGGCTCATGGCAAGATGAACATGTCGCAGCAACAGCCACAACATCCCTCCCGGCATCCTCCCATACCTCCATTTCGATGGACTCGTTGCCACAATCCCTCACCTGCAACGGAACTGGTGAAGACAGCCCGCCCAGCATCCCAGCAACTAAAGCGTGCCATGACTCGACGGTGATGGGGGAACGTCAGGCTTCGCTCTGTTGTATTATTTGCTGAAGAGCATCCCACCCTAAACCCTACTAAACCTTGTTCCTAATTACCAAAGAAACGTATCGCCCTTTATCGAAGCCTAGAGCCCCCCAAACAAAACCATCATCCGAAGCGCTGGGAGAGCCGGACGGCCTCTGGAGCTCCCACATGGGTCTGCACGCTTCGCATGCGAACTCCGGCCACCTGCGTAGTTCAACTTGAGGCTTCAGGGCACTTTGGGGTTTAGGGACACAGCTCACTGAGACTGCGCATGCACAAGACGATCTCGCGTTAACGCCCAAAGGCTATGTGATGCCCAGAAGGCCAGCCGAATGTCCCAGGGGACCTTCACGCGTGATGCAAAGGCAAAGGTGAGGTTCTCCGTGTGCCGGCCATACTTGGTTGGCCTCATCGCAGGCTGCTGCTGCGGTTCCACTAGGGACCTACAGTGAAAATACTGTATAAGAACCCACTGTTTAAGAACCTGAGCCCCTACCCAAGGCGGAATTCACCAGATTCAAGTTGCCTCAATATTAAGAACCTTAGGGTACCCTAGTTTTCGGGTCAGGTTCTTAATTTTTTGGGTGCTTTCCCTCACCAAGGAAATTTAGAATCGAAAACTAAATTTCCCAACCCTCCACATCAAGAAATCTTGTGCCTAAACATGGTGATTGTATTATCGATGGGCAATAGCAATCATGCCACAGCGCGGTGGTTGTGCATGGGTTCTGGAGGCAAAGGTACGTGTTTCAATCCCCAAGGGTGTCAGAATTGTGATCCAGCGATGATGCACAATGTTTGGCTTCCGTGCTGGGTATGCATCTTACCTTCTCTACACTGTTCGGCGAGAGTAGGCTACCCTAAGACTCTCCCACACCCGCAACCTCGGTGTTTCAATCCCCGCCGGTGTCTTGCTGCTGGCGGGCTGCCCGCTGCCAAGCCGTTTTCCGTCCCAACCCTCTTGGCCCTGGTTCGACGGCATCAGGAAATTTAGAATCCAAAAGTAAACTTCCAGCCCTTCCTCCCAACACAACGGAACACTGACCAGCACAGCACCCCCTAGCCGGCAGCACAGGCCCAAGGCTCCGACCCACACCGAGGAAATTTAGAATCCAAAAGTAAATTTCCAGCCCTTCCTCCCGATGGCCCCCCACAGCTTGCATTCCACCGAAACAAAGCCCCTTGCCACCAAAACGTTGAAATTTAGAATTGGAATCTAAATTTTCTACACCAGCCCCTTCCTGGCCCTGTGGCCTTTGACCCACACAAACGGCGTCAGGAAATTTAGAATCCGAAAATAAATTTCCGCGTTCTCCAAACCACAAAAAACACCAACGCCCAGAGGTGGGGAGGAAACAAAAGGCAAACCAGCTCCCCCACAGCGCAGTGGTTTGGCATAGGCCCTACAGGGGTTTGGCCTTGTTTCGATCCCCGGGGGTGTCTGCCCGCAGCTCGTATTCCACTGAAACAGAGCCCCTTGCCACCAAACTGTGGAAATTTAGAATTGAAATCTAAATTTTCCCACCAGCGTCCTGGTCCCGGCCCAAGCCACACCCATGGCCCATCCGCCCCCACGGAAATTTAGAATCCAAAAGTAAATTTTCGGGGGGTCTCTGGCCATGCCCTCTGCCCTGAGTCCTTTCGAGGAGCTGTGGAAATTTAGAATTGAGAACTAAATTTTCCAGACCCCCCATGGCCCATCCACCCCCAAGAGGAAATTTAGAATCCAAAAGTAAAATTTCCCGAGACCTCGGTCCGGATAAGAACGTGGTTAAGAACCTGAGCCTACCCTAGCTGCTCGAACGGCAAAATCACATGTAATGGAAATTAAGAACCTTAGGGTACCCTACTCTCGCCGAACGGGGTTCTTATACAGGGTTTTCACTGTAACACGAACTAAGCTTACGAACGAAATGGCTCATGACCCGATGGACCTCAACCCAGAAGACCTGAACCCTCAAACCTCCGAGTCCGTCCCAAGCCCTCGTAAGACCCCGGCGTCAGCAAGCACCGGAGGCGAGTCTCCGATACTTGTACTGCAGGGAAAGCAGCCTGGATCTTACGGGCTTAGGGTTGCGAGCTTGAGGGCTTCGGGTTCAGGGTTGCATGGGCTAAGTAGCAAAAGTTTGATCTTATACAAGGTACTCTATACGTCGGCATGCTAAATTCTGAACTCGTGTCCTTGACGTTGCGGGGCTTCTGCCATGAACAGAATGACGCGAGCTTTCTATTGCTTGCGATTTAGAGTTGGGAGTTGGTACAGTGTGCTGGGCGTCTATACAGTCTCGATACACAGAAGACAGGTGTTACCATGCACGTTGGTGCTATTCTCAGAACGACGAAATTTAAAGACTGTCACAACGACGACAGCGGCTAATTACTAACACCACCACGGACACTCCTCCCTTGCATCCTCCACCTCCTCCTCCTCCTCCTCCTACTGCTACTACTGCTGCTGCCGCTGCTGCTGCCATTGCCATTGCTGCTGCCATTGCACGGACATCCAAATCACACGCAGAGCCCGAGTGGGAGCGAAGAGAACTCATCCGGAGCTAGTGTAATCGACAGCGGAAGTGACTTACCGTTGGTTAGTAGGGAATGGAAGAATGGTAGTAATAGAAGCTATAACTATACACCATTCCTCCATTCCCTACTAACCAACGGGAAGCTGAACAGAGAACCGCGCCCAGCTGTTGTTGCCGTCCTGCACCAAGCACCGCGGCCTGGTCTTCTGAACGCATGGACTTTTCAACTACACACGAGCAACGGTACTTCTCTTGCGATTGACTGTAACTGCATGAAGCATGAACCAATGTGGAAGCCTATTAAGGTACCTCCGTGAAGCTCAATGTTGAAGATTCCGTGGACGGTTCGGGCGTTTCGTAGATGCTGGGAATCGAAGTAGAAACCCACGAACCTAAACCCCAGCCCTGCGCCTGCAGCAAACCCGAGCCCTCAACCCTAAAACCGCGGTTCTCGAAGCCAAAACCCCCCAAGGTGGCAACCCTACCATCCTGACTTTCAATATGTATATATACATATATATATATATATCCATATAAATACATATAAATACAAATATATAAATATAAACATAAAAATATAAATAAACATATATATATATATATATATATATTCTCAACCTGCGGAAGCCCTGAGCTCCCGGGCTCCAGTGACGGGTGGAAGTGGCGGCCATATGCGAGGATGTTAGCACGCTGCTCGATGGAGACACCTTCAGGTCTGGCGGGTGTGGGGTTTAGGGAGTTTAGGGTTTAGGGTTTTTTTTTTTGAACACCTTTTTCCGTCCGCCTAAGTCTTAGGAATCTGGAATTCGCTTTGCGAAAGGCAACAACAACCCTCTCAGGACTTCAAGAAGTACGTGCTTCCATCGCACCCTCAACATCTTCAGTCTCGCCATCCAACTGTGTCATTTCAGCTAACCCTGGCGACGCCGTGTGACCCCCATTGCCATTGCCACTGGGCTCCCCATTCGATACCACATTTGACCCTGTAGACCCTTGGGGACCCTCGTTGTCATCTCTCTCGTCCTTGTCCCCTGCGGCAATCATGTCAAGCAAGTCTTCCAGGTCCCATTCCACCAGTTCCGAAAGCTCGGCACGGCATGCGTTCAGGCCATATTCACGCATTCTCTGAAACAGCTCGAACCATCTGCTGCCATACACCTCCTCAATGGTGGCATCGGAGATGAGCTGGTCCTTCCATCGTTGGTACACCTGCTTCACCACACCAAACGGGATCTTGAGGCTACATCTGTGCACGCTGTCCTCATACTCAGCATTGAGAGGCCGCTGCGACCCTTCCGGAGGATCCCTCGTCATATCCAAGATCTCGCCCAGGCGCCCCTCGATAGCAGTTAATCCCCACAGCTTCCACTGGGTAAAGAGGATCAGCCATGTGTCCCCGAAGCTGTTACGGATGTCCAGGCTTGTCCTCAGGCCAGCTTTCCACTGTCCGTACATGCTCTCGAAGAAGCAGAAGCGCGGACGCTCCGCACCGGCCGCCATGAGAGGGGACGTCGGCAACCCAGGCAGTGCTTCCCCTGGCTCGACTGAAGCAGGCATGTTCCCAGCCACCCCATCCGTCTCCTGCTCCATGTGCACTGCTGTCTCTTCCACCATGAGGGCCCTTTGAGACTGCAAAAGCTCGGCGACCGTGGAGCCATACTGCACGATGATTTCGGCCAGCAGTAACTCACCCCTCTGCCATTGATCGTATATGCGTTGGTAGTCCTCGAAGGAGAGATCCGTCAAGGCCTCCGTCAGTAACTCTCCGGGTCCATCACCTCTCTGCCCCTGATTGGGCTGCTCCACTGGCACAGATGTCACCGCCCTGGTCGACACATTCTCCGGGTCCGGCTCCATGGTCGCGCGGATAGTAAGACTAACCGGTGTCCCATTGACCGGTACATCCACCGCGAATGTGTGCATCACCCGCGGTCTATCGGAAGAGCTCGAAGCCGCCTCCACTGTCAGCACGCACCGACGCTTAGGCGGCGGTGCCCTGGCCATCGCCTCCACCATCTGGTCCTGTTCCCAAGCCCGGAAGGCATGGGCATCCGCTCGTAGCTCCACCAGCTCCTTGGCACACATGGTTTCAAACTCCTGAAGTCGGTCCCTCTCCGCAGCTTCTTCCTGGGCTCGCTGTTCTTGCCACGCCCGCTCACTGTCTTCGTCCTCAAGCAGGAGGTTGAGCTCGTGGTCCAAGTCCCGCACTGGGTCCATAGTCGTCTGAGATTCCACCTGAATAGGACCCACAGCCTCTTGGAACCCTGGGACGAAGACCGTGATCTCGTTGACCCATTGCCCGAACCAGACCTCGTCCACATTGTTCAGCTCAGTGTGTTCATCCACTCCAGGCCCCAGTGCAACCAGTACGGCCTCCAACTGCTCACGCCATGACCCTGCATTCACCTCCGGTGTAGTCGGTGGCAATCCCAGCTGTACCTTTTTGACATGTGCAAGCTGCACAGGCCGTGGCTGCCCCAAGAGCTCCTTATGGAGTCGCAGAATCGCCCGGGTCCCTCGACTTTCCATGGTATCTCTTCCCTCAGTCATCACGAACTTCTGCATCAGTAAGGAGGTGTCCTGATCGTCCTCGTCCAGTTCAACCTCCACGGTGTCATCCTGGTGAGCTCTTGCCAAGGCATCGGCCACATCCAGTGTTCTCGACACCTCCGACATTAAGTAACGCAGCACTGTGATCAAGGCCAGTGTCGACACTGCCCTGTTGTGCCGCGACATAGCCTCATGGTGGATGCTGATGTTTTGCAGCATGTGCTGTGGCAGGAAGTGGTCTGGGATCAGGGAGGCACCTGTGAGCTGAGGCCCGAAGCTAGTGCGATCAAAGAGCAGATGCCGCCAAAGATAGACCGCCTGATCTGAGGACATCGGGTTCTGAAGGTCCGGGGCCATGGGAGACACCCTGGCCAGATTCCCAACACCCGACGTCTCTGTCCGCCTCGTCGACCCTGCACCACCGGCTGCAGCCTCACGGGCACCCGTTGTTGGCCTAGCCGGGCCTGTCCGATCAGAAGGAGCACATCGGTGAGCCGTCGCATTTCCACGTGGATGTCGCCCTCTTTCTCCCCGCAGACAGCCGTCTCTTGCGTCAGCACCTCGCGCATCAGAGTGGCGCGAACTCCTCCGCAGGGTACGAGAGTCTCTGATCCTACGGCGGCCGTATTGGTACCTGTCAGCCATGAAGCTCACCGAGTCGTGCGGCGATGTGTCAGCCGCGGTCATTCTGCTCCCTGAGGACCTGGTTTCAACTCTGTGTCTGTGATATAGCGTCCGAAGGTAGCCCTCAACCATACAGGCCCACCGGTAGAAGTCCGACGGGGTGGTGCCACGTTCGATTCCCTGTGCATTGGGGTTGCCCCACCCCAAGGACTGAAGCGGTTCCTCAGCCCATTGGATAAAGCCATCATGCCCTGAGCCTTGAACTCGATGTCGTAGCATTCTCATTGCCATGCCCACCTCCCTGCCCGCTGCAAACCAGGCTTCCAACTCTTCCCTGAGTCTGGCCCACCGCTGTTCCCAATCAGGCGGCACCTGAAACAAAGAGGAGACATCACTGCCATCGTCCCCTCCGGTGTTCTTCTCAGCCATGCTTGGTGCATCCAACCACGGGGCGGTGTCACGGCGATGCGGCGATCGTGACCGCGAGAAGCCCCTCCGCTCTGCTGCTTCCGCGTCACGTAGCGCCGGTGACAGCTCGAAGTGGGTGTACCCGGAGGCGAGGAGCCACTCTTCCTGTTTCTGATTCTCCATTGCCACAGGGCAGATCTTCCACAACCATCGCCTCTTTAGGTTGGAGATGATCCTGTGCACCCTGTCATAGTACTCCGTGTCCGTCAGCCGAGGCAGTCCATTAGCCAGGTCGGCAGGAAGTGGTCAATGAAGATGCAGAGCGCGACTGAGGCCATTGACATATAGGAGCGTTTCTTCAACAAAGCGTCTGTCATCATCCCTCTGAAGGGTCGTATGCAGCAACCGGGACAGCTCCGGTCCCGACCTCCCACGGTCCATCATATCCCGGACATTTTCCACCATATCCCACCACCATTCTGGGACCGGTCCGCCTTCGAAAGGTTCATCGAAGCCCTGGACTGAAATGGGGGCGAGCAGCACCACGAAGAGAGACATCCCGGACGTCTCGTCGTGTTCATCCCGCTCCTCCGTCTCTTCTTCACTCGGTTCCCGATCCTGGGGTGGTGCAGGCCTCACACCCACACCCCACGTCCCTGTTGCAGGGTCCACCCACTGAGCATGGAACAGCCCAAAGGGTACCTCCTGGCTAGCCGCCGGTGTCAACTCGGAGAGGACAACAGTGTGCGAGACCGACTGGATCACCTGAACAGAGCGGAGGTGGCCGTAGAAGTCCTGGGCCGCTGCATGCTCCACCCTCCTCGCCCAATCCACCTCTGATGTTGAGAGCGGCCTGGTATGCAAGTGAGAATTGAGTAGGGGGCCAAACTCGGCTCGCAAAGACCGGAGATGTCGTCCACACCACTTCTTGTACTCCGGGTCTTGCCTGGCACGGATCCTGGCCAGCACTGCCAACCACATTGGCTCCGTGCCTCTCCCATCCACCCTGAAATTGTTAATCTGAGACACAGCTGAGACCATCCACTGGCAGTCCGAGGTGGCGTTGACGTTGTCCCTAATCGTTCCGTACCCGACGCCCCGGGGGTTCAGCTCCCGCCCACCTGCTTCACAGCGTCCCTGATCGGTACCACCTTGATCTTGAAGATGTCCCGGGCGGGGTAATCCTGATAGTTGGTTGTCCGTGTCGAATTCATGCAAAACTCCAGGCGGAGACCTTGAACGGCCCGGAGCATGAGGAGTAGACATAGTCGAAAAGGACCCTGAAGCTCTGCCTGGTGTTCCACGTGTAGAAGAGGAGCCACCTCCCACTGCCGTAGTGACAGCCGGGGATAGCACGGAGTTTGAGCTCAGGTCGGAAGCCCTCGGCGATGCATCAGAGGTCGTCACAACGGAGTTCCTTGCATCACCAGCTGGCAAAGGGTTCGGTGGGAGGTCACCTCCGGTCGGAGGTCCCCCCGCGCAGACCATCACGGTCAGGAACCGCAGAAACATGTAGAACATGAGCGCCATGGCCCGGAGTCAAAATGTCACGAAAGGCACTCTACGGCTCGATCGCTGGACTCAGGAGATAAACACCCCTTCACAAAGCAACCATGCAGCAGACACCCGTGCAACACTGTACACACATGACCGTCTCTCCCTCAGCGTGCCCTGCTCTCTCTGGAGTGTGGGGAGACATGGGGAGAGACCCGAACCGACGAATTGACAGAACGACCTCGATCCTTAGGTGGAGGCGTGCTGGTAGAGAAAGCCTACAAGGCGGCGGCCCAAAACAGGAACATGCATTCAGTGCAGGCCCTGTTCGTTCACTAGCGGTCACCGAGGGCAAGTTGGCGTCCTGAGGACCACGGTACATCCATGTGTGCCACCCAAGCGTCTTCCTTGTTCCTCCATGCATTGCGGTCATGTGCCATTACCCTCCACGGATGCCCTGCTACTCGGTCCATGTTCTGCTCCAGTTGGGTGAGGCGGGCAAAGTGGTGTCCCTTGTGCTTCACCCCTTGACCTTGTGGGAGGGCCTTCTGTCGATTCCACCATGGGAGGGTTCGAAAATGCTCGAAATCGCAACTGATCGGGGGATGCTCCGATAACACCGTGCGAACCCTATGCCCGGCGTACCGCCAGTATCTGCGCAACCACAAAGTTGACCACCGTTCAAGACCCGCCGAATGAAGAGCAGCACGGGCCCCACGAAAAGCCCGCTTCCTAAAGTCCTCCCACGACTCAGTGGCTGCCTTGGCGAAGCGCAACAGCCAGACCATGAGCTGGAGCTGGGTGGTGTTGAGGGCCGTCATCGTGGCTTTGTCCGGTGGGACACAGCAGATGAACCACAGGGCAGTGGCACCCACAACTCTCTGCATAACCCTGGCACGGTTCTTCATATACCCCTTAGCCCTCAGGATATGTTTGAGCTCCCAGAACTTCGATCGGGCACGTGTGGCAGCTGGACTCACGAGCTCATACATAGACATCCCAACCCGGAGGGGGAGACCCATGACCTCGAGCTGCGGGGCGGCCACCACCTTAGAGCCGTTCAGGACGATCGAGTGTTCACCTGGGACATTCGGTGTCACATAGAGTTGGCACTTGGCGGGGTTCATCCGAAGACCGTACCTGGCAAACTCGATCGAGAGTTGTTGTGCTCTAGTTTGGACAACTGGGAGGGATCCATTCCACATGAGGCCGTCGTCCATGAACATCATTTCCTCCGGCGGGAGGTCGCCGTATAGGGGAGGCATGCCACGCCAGGAGTACTTATGCACGGTTTCTGACAGCACCAGCTCTGCGATGTACGCAAACAGGACAGGCGATTCGACTGCGCCCTGTTTTATTCCCCTGTCCATCGGAACCCTCGAACTTCCCCACGGTGACTGTAGTAAACCCGTTGTTTCCCGAAGGAGGTTGCGCCAACAGGTTAGTTCCGCACCCCGGCCGATCTTCTCCTCCAATCTGCTCAAAAGCATTTCACGATCCAAGCTATCGAATGCTTTCTCCAAATCCATCTTGAAAACCACCAACGGATTGCCCCATTCCCTGGCGAGTTCAAATAACCGGATGATGGTGTACAGAAAATCGGAGGTTTGTCTTCCTGGACCAGCACATTGGGAGTAAGTTTGAGGCCTAAGCTGATGTAGAGCACGGTTCACCAGAAGCCTGCTGAAAAGCTTTGACACAGACGATCCCAGAGCGATGGGGCGAAGCTCTTTTGCCTTAGTAGGTAGTCGCACCTTAGGAAGGAGGATCATGATGGGCTCGTTCCACTCAGTGGGGATGTCCCCCGTCACAAGGATCCGGTTGTACCATTCCAACAAATGTTCCGGCCCACCCTTGACCTCCATGATCCCTAGAAGAAGTTCCGTAGAAGTCAGGTCCGCGCCCACAGCCTTCCCTTTTTTCATCTGGCCTACCCCGGTGCGCAGCTCCTCAAGGGTGAAGGCGTTGACCTCGCCTCTCCACGGTTCCGCCCCTTGAACCCCACTCCCCTTGTAGACCCCTGCCAAGTGCTCATGGATCACATCGTGCGGATCACCCATCTGTGCCTCTGCGAACCCGATGTCCCACCCCTCATGTCGACGTGGTTTGAGTGCGCGAAAGGTGTGCCACTCACCCTGGCTTGCACGCACTAAGCGCTCAAATTCCCACTGTTGTCTGGCCTCACGCCGGAGTTTGAGTGCTGATTTCCACTTCGCCGAGGAACCAGAGTGTTTAGCTTCTTTAAAAGCCTTCCGAACTTGCACCGGATCCCTGTACCCTTGCCCTTGGACAGGTTTCGTACATCTGCGAGCGAGGTCCGAGACGACATTCTGGTCCATGCTCTCAATGACAGTCACCCCTCCCGTCCAAACCCTCGGCCTAGTCTCATGTCTTCGGTGCTCTCGTCGCTCATCCACAACAAACCTGCCCTCCGTCAACTCATGGTCAGTGCCAATGGTCATGTAGGAATCTTCCATGATGCGCCATGACTGAACACGCATATGCATAACTGCCATGACATCAATGCATTGCCCTTGTCGGCCCTCCTGGCGGGGACGGCTGGTAGGGGTCTGGATCTGAGAACACGAGGGCGGGGTCATACTCAAACCGCGCTCAACAAAGACCTTGTGCAGGATGTTACTCTTCCCTTCTCTGGCCACCTCCGTGATCCCGTCCCCAGATACTGTCCAGCCGAAGGCACTGTTCACGTCACCCTGAAAGACCACCCTATGAGCACTCTTCGGAAGATGCCGGAAGTGTTCATGGACCTCCTCCTCATACCCTGCCACTGTGGCCCCTGGTGAGAAGTGAGCAGTCCCTATCCACAGCTCCAACGGCTTCTCCAGGTGCCGGACCTTGAACCACGAACCCCGGCCTGACCCGAGCTTGCGAAGCACACACCACACCCCTGGATCATACCACAGCCCCGTGCCTCTCCACTGATCTGCTGTACGGTGTGTCACGACCTTTCGCCCTGCGAGTTCCTGAAAACACCATCCCTGCTTCTCTCGGGGCACTTCCTGCAAGACGACCAGGTCTTCTTTTCCGAGCGGTCTCGCTGCTGAGTCTCGCACTGCCTTAGGCAGTGAGGCCAGTTCGGCGCCACCCACGTTCCAGCCCCACACAGAGAAGCAACTGCCAGCCGGTTTCTGAGCAATCTCCGCCGACAGGGGCTCCTTGGTCAAGCTGGGCGCCGGCAGAAAAACACCCTCTCCCATAGGAGAATCCTCAGCAAAGACAAGATCATCTCAGAACTTTTGGTCAGCAACGACCTGCTTCACGGCCTCCAGGTCCACCTCCATCCACCTTGCAAGCGTGGCTTCGTCGATCCATCCACGGCCTCCACGAGTGACCACTTCTCGAGAGTGCCTAACGTCAGGAGGCGGATCGTCCATCCCGGTCAGCTGGTCCTCCTTTATCCACGTCCTGCCTGTGCCATACTCCAGGTCCAAGTCAGCGGCCCGCTCCGGGGCGAAGCGCAGGACCACCTTTCGCACCACAGCTGCCAGTGCCGCCCTGCCCCTTTCCTCGGGGCTTTTGCTAAAGCTGCACCAGAGCGGCTTAACCGCCCCTTCGATAGAGACCTGAGCTGCATTGACCCCCTGCAGCACCTGGAGCATGCGCGCCCTTGGTTGTCCCTCTGTCTCATCAGGCCTTCGCCGGAAAGCGCATAGTGCAACTGAACGACGAGCCCCCGTACAGAAAGGGTCATTATCCAGCAGCCCCCACAGGCCCAATCCATGCAGGGCTTGGCGAAGCTGCTCCAAGAGGATGTTTTTGCGCGTATTCTGGGACCATCCACCAAACACCAATGTAGACTTTCTATCAGGGCCTCCAGCTCCACTGCCTCCCACCGGTCGCGACTCGACCCTGGAGAGACGCTCGTTCATCTCCTTGAGCTGGGCCTCCAGAGAGTCGACCTTGGTGGCCTGCGCCTGAGCGTGTTCTTCAATCCGATCCATTCGGTGCCCTTGTCGTTCCTCAAATGCACGAAGGGAAGTGGTAATCTGCATTTGCTGGGCTTGGAGCAATGCATCCGATTGCTCCCGGAGAGCACCACTAAGGAGTTCCTTGAAAGAGCTCATGGTCAGCCCCACCTCGCCCTGCTCACGCTCAGCCTGCTTCGACTTTTTGGCTGGACTTTCATCCAGATCATGGTCGGGACCCTCTGGGACTCCGGGCAACCCAATGTGCATCCGACCCTGGTTCGCCATGTCCCCGTTCTGAAACGCACCCTCCGGAACCCCCAGAAAGGCCTCCTTCGCCGAGAACTAAACGTAGACGCCCGGCAGAATCGCACCCTTGAGAATCCCCCGGGAGCACTCGTAGCACCTGACACCAGCCGCCGGACGAATGGCTGAGGCCCCTATCCCTCCGCGCGACCCCACAGAGCGAACCGTCGAGGCCTTGAGCCAAAATGGCTTGAGCCAAAATGGCTACGGGTTTAGGGTTTAAGGTTTAGGGTTGAGGGTTCAGGGGGTTCGGGGCTCAGGGCTCTTGAAGTTGAAATTGGCTTCATCAAACAATGGTTTACAGGGCTTCGTGCATGAAGGTTTCATAAGTTAAGGAGACGGTTCAATGTTTCCTGGCCCTCATTCTGAAGCAGGGCTCCCTTTAGTGTAAGGCTTCTTCTTGCTGACTTACTACAGGAACCAGGACCCCAAAGGTGGAACCCGAACCCCTAAACCCTGAACCAATAAACCCCAAACCCTTTCTAAAAACAACCTCTTAAAACATCGACGAACCCTGGATGATATGACTTGTGAGCACCTCTCGGCCAAATCGTTGACACCGTGGGCGCGGGGAAGATGGCAATGCCTCAGCCCCCGAAGTGGCTCCATTTAGGGTATCTCTTTAAGGAATGTAAGGAGCGCATGATGTAAGAGAAACACCGACAAGGACCACAAACCATTGTACAACCCCGGAAATCTGGAAAAGCTGCAACCTACAAGCTGTGGCATGCCAGTCTTGCATGATCTTAGATGCTGGTGAGAAGGATGTGCCTCCAAGAATGCTGAACCCTAAAACATTAAAACCCCAAAGCCCTATGCCCTTGACCCTATAAAATCTAACCCCTACTGTAGACCCTAAACACCCTCCATCGAACCCAAAAGCTTAGGGTTTAGGGGTTTAGGGTTTAAGGGTCTAGGGTTTAGGGGTCTGTACGTAGGACCTTTAGGTCCTATTTGGCGTAGGGCTTGCTCTGTGTCTTAATATATACTGTGTATATACGCAATTAAAAATTTAAAGAATTTAAAAAAATTAAAGGGAGTAAATCCTTTAAATTCTGAAATCGTCCGGAATTAAAAATTTAAAGAATTTAAAAAATTTAAAGGAGGGAAATCCTTTAAATTCTGAAATCGTCCGGAATTAAAAATTTAAAGAATTTAAAAAATTTAAAGGAGGTAAATCCTTTAAATTCTGAAATCGTCCGGAATTAAAAATTTAAAGAATTTAAAAAATTTAAAGGAGGTAAATCCTTTAAATTCTGAAATCGTCCGGAATTAAAAATTTAAAGAATTTAAAAAATTTAAAGGAGGTAAATCCTTTAAATTCTTTAAATTCTGAAATCGTCCGGAATTAAAATTTAAAGAATTTAAAGAATTTAAAGAATTTTAAAAATTTAAATGTCCAGCTCCAGCTCCAGCCCCCCAGCCTTCGACCCCAGCCCACGGGATTAAATTTTTTAAATTCCTTAAATTCTTTAAATTCTGAAATCGTCCGGAATTAAAAATTTAAAGAATTTAAAATAATTAAAGGAGGTAAATCCTTTAAATTCTGAAATCGTCCGGAATTAAAAATTTAAAGAATTTAAAAAAATTAAATGGAGTAAATCCTTTAAATTCTGAAATCGTCCGGAATTAAAAATTTAAAGAATTTAAAAAAATTAAAGGAAGTAAATCCTTTAAATTCTTTAAATTCTGAAATCGTCCGGAATTAAAAATTTAAAGAATTTAAAGAATTTAAAGAATTTTAAAAATTTAAATGTCCAGCTCCAGCTCCAGCCCCAGCCCCCCAGCCTTTGACCCCAGCCCACGGAATTAAATTTTTAAAATTCTTTAAATTCTTTAAATTCTGAAATCGTCCGGAATTAAAAATTTAAAGAATTTAAAAAATTTAAAGGAGGTAAATCCTTTAAATTCTGAAATCGTCCGGAATTAAGAATTTAAAGAATTTAAAAAATTTAAAGGAGGTAAACCCTTTAAATTCTTTAAATTCTGAAATCGTCCGGAATTAAAAATTTAAAGAATTTAAAGAATTTAAAGAATTTTAAAAATTTAAATGTCCAGCTCCAGCTCCAGCCCCAGCCCCCCAGCCTTCGACCCCAGCCCACGGAATTAAATCTTTAAAATTCTTTAAATTCTTTAAATTCTGAAATCGTCCGGAATTAAAAATTTAAAGAATTTAAAAAAATTTAAAGGAGGTAAATCCTTTAAATTCTGAAATCGTCCGGAATTAAAAATTTAAAGAATTTAAAAATTTAAAGGAGGTAAATCCTTTAAATTCTTTAAATTCTGAAATCGTCCGGATTTCAAAATTTAAAGAATCTGGGATGGGCTTTGGCAGCCCTGAAAATTATTTATGGATCCGGGCTGTTTTTGTGCATCCATGTGAATGCAACACCAAGCAGCAATCACTCACTCTTTTTCTCCCGCGATCATGTCGAATGTCTACAGTGGTAACAATAAAAACGCGACTATCAGCAGCCACTGACACTGGCAGCTCAGACGATGGTGGCCTGCAAGAGCAAGCAGAAACCAAAATCTGTCCTGACACTCTGACAATGGAAGCATGTGACACTCATTCTGTGTGGCAAGTGCAATAACACACCCAATGCGCACCCCTCCATGCCTGCTCAAAGTTGACACTGATTTCCAGCTGGTAGGCCTGACATAATGGAAACACGTGACACTCATTCTGTGTGGCCAGTGCAATAACGCACCCAAGACGCACCCCTCCATGCCTGCTCCAAGTTGACACTGATCTCCAAGACGAAGGCCTGCCATAGTGGATGCATTTGACACTCATTCTGTGTGGCCAGTACAATAACGCACCCAATACGCACCCCTGCCTGCCTTGTCACAGTTGACACTGATCTCCAGCTGGTAGGTGTGTCAACTTTGAGCACGCATGGAGGGTGCCTACTGGGTCCCAACACACACCCTCCATGCCTGCTCAAAGTTGACACTGATGTCCAGCTGGTAAGCCTGACATTAAGGAGCAATTGACACTCATTCTGTGTGGCCAGTACAATAACGCACCCAATACGCAAACCTGCCTGCCTTCTCCAAGTTGACACTGATGTCCAGGAGGAAGACCTGACTTTAATGGATTAACACTCATCGACATCCACTGCACCGTAACTGCTTGTCGACATGGTGACACTTGGCAGAGGAGTCATCAACCAAAACAGAGTCATAGCACGAGCCAGGCGGCGAGCGGCTCATTCACACCTTGACAGCTCGAGCAGCTTGACGGTCTGTCAAACTGCTCGAGGAGTCAAGGTCTGAGCGAGCCAGCTGACGCTTAATTCCATGACAAAGCAGATGGTAGGCCTGACATAATGGAATCACTTGACACTCGTTCTGTGTGGCCAGTACACTAACGCACCGAACACGCACCCCTCCATGCCTTCTCTAAGTTGACACTGATGCCCAGGAGGAAAACCTGACTTTAGTGAACTGTCGTCGACATGGTGACACTTGGCAGAGGTATCATCAACCAAAACAGAGTCATAGCACCAGCCAAGCGGCGAGCGGCTCATTCAGACCTTGACAGCTCGAGCAGCTTGACGGTCTGTCAAACTGCTCGAGGAGTCAAGGTCTGAGCGAGCCAGCTGACACTTCAGCCATGACAAAGCGAATGGTAAGCCTGACATAATGGAAACATGTGACACTCATTCTGTGTGGCCAGTACAATAACGCACCCAAGACGCACCCCTCCATGCCTGCTCAAAGTTGACACTGATTTCCACCTGATAGGCCTGACATAATGGAAGCATGTGACACAGTGGCCAGTACAATAACGCACCCAATTCGCACCCCTCCATGCCTGCTCCAAGTTGACACTGATTTCCAGCTGGTAGGCCTGACATAATGGAAGCATGTGACACTCATTCTGTGTGGCCAGTACAATAACGCACCCAATTCGCACCCCTCCATGCCTGCTCAAAGTTGACACTGATTTCCACCTGTAGGCCTGACATAATGGAAGCATGTGACACTCATTCTGTGTGGCCAGTACAATAACGCACCCAATTCGCACCCCTCCATGCCTGCTCCAAGTTGACACTGATTTCCAGCTGGTAGGCCTGACATAATGGAAGCATGTGACACTCATTCTGTGTGGCCAGTACAATAACGCACCCAATTCGCACCCCTCCATGCCTGCTCCAAGTTGACACTGATTTCCAGCTGGTAGGCCTGACATAATAGAAGCATGTGACACTCATTCTGTGTGGCCAGTACAATAACGCACCCAATTCGCACCCCTCCATGCCTGCTCCAAGTTGACACTGATTTCCAGCTGGTAGGCCTGACATATGGAAGCATGTGACACTCATTCTGTGTGGCCAGTACAATAACGCACCCAAGACGCACCCCTCCATGCCTGCTCAAAGTTGACACTGATTTCCAGCTGGTAGGCCTGACATAATGGAAGCATGTGACACTCATTCTGTGTGGCCAGTACAATAACGCACCCAATTCGCACCCCTCCATGCCTGCTCCAAGTTGACACTGATTTCCAGCTGGTAGGCCTGACAGAATGGAAGCATGTGACACTCATTCTGTGTGGCCAGTACAATAACGCACCCAATTCGCAACCCTCCATGCACATAGTGGAAGCATGTGACACTCATTCTGTGTGGCCAGTACAATAACGCACCCAATTCGCACCCCTCCATGCCTGCTCAAAGTTGACACTGATTTCCACCTGATAGGCCTGACATAATGGAAGCATGTGACACTCATTCTGTGTGGCCAGTACAATAACGCACCCAATTCGCACCCCTCCATGCCTGCTCCAAGTTGACACTGATTTCCAGCTGGTAGGCCTGACATAATGGAAGCATGTGACACTCATTCTGTGTGGCCAGTACAATAACGCACCCAATTCGCACCCCTCCATGCCTGCTCCAAGTTGACACTGATTTCCACCTGATAGGCCTGACATAATAGAAGCATGTGACACTCATTCTGTGTGGCCAGTACAA